TCTGAAACAAATAATACATTATATGTTAAAAAAAAAAAAAGAAGAAGAAGAAGAAGAAGAAGATAGTAGGAAGGGAAAAATGGAGGGGGGGAATCGGAGGAGGAGATGAACCATAAAAGACTATGGACTCTGAGAAGCAGACTGAGGGTTTTAGAGGGGAGGGGGTGGGGGGATGGGTTAGCCCAGTGATGGGTATTAAGCAGGGCACGTATTGCATGGAGCACTGGGTGTTATACGCAAGCAATGAATCATGGAACACTACATCAAAAACTAATGATGTGATATATGCTGACTAACATAACATAACGAAATAAAATAAAAAAAAAAGAAAAAACATACTGTACTTACACAAAAGGTTTGTTCAACAGAATTCATATTTACTCATAATATCCAAAACCTGGAAACAGGGGTCTGTTGAAAGGAAACTGGATTAACCAACTAGAGTATGCCCATATGATGGAATGCTAAGCAACAAAAAGAGCTACTCATTCATGCAGAATCACGGATAAATCTCCAATGATGATTCTTAGTGAGAAAAGACAAGACCAAACAGTATGTAATTTACAATTCCAGTAGGCAAAAATAATCTTAGAGTGGAAAAAAATCAGAACAGTGATGCAGGAGCTGAAGGAGGGAGAGGCTTGGCTGGAAAGGGGCACGGTAGAACTTTATGGGGTAGTGGGAATGTCCTATGAGTAGAAAAGGATTCTGCTTACACAACTATATGCATTTGCCAAAACTCAGCAAATGTTCGTATGCACATTTTACCTAGGAAGAAGAAAAAGCATAAACACATCTTGAACTCTAGTTGATGATCGTGTGCTGATGTCCCAGATTTACTTTCGTATATATCAAAAGCAATAGGAACTGATAGATGGACAGAAGGATGACCAGATGGGTAGATTAGTGATCATGCCAGTTTAATAAAATGTTAATCGTGAAGCTTATGGACTTCCCATGAAGCTCATGGGAAACCCTGAAAAGAAATAGTGTATGCATTATGGGAATCCCAAAAGGACAAAAAGGGAAAGGGACAGAAAATATATTTAAAGCAATAATGGTTGAAAACTTCCCAAATGAGAGCCATGGACATCCAGATTCATAAGGCTCAAAGGACCCCAAATAATTTGAACCTGAAAAGGGCTACAGAGAGATTATAATTATATAATTATATAATCTCTCTGTATTATATGAAATTATAATTAAATTGCCAAAAGTCAAAGACAAGGAGGGTGCCTAGCTGGCTCAGTTGGAAGAGCATGGGACTCTTGATCTTGGGGTCATGAGTTTGAACCCCACGTGGGGTATAGAGATGATTAAAAAAATAATAAACTTAAAAAAAGTCAAAGACAAGGAGAAAAAGTTCAAAGTAGCAAGAAAAGTAAGTCATCACATATAAGGTAATCCCTCTCATAAGACTATGGGAATATTTCTCAACAAAACTTTGTAGGCTAGGAGAGAGTGAGATAATATATTCAAAATATTGGGGCACTGGGATGGCTCAGTCGGTTGGGTGTCTGACTCTTGATTTCAATGCATGTCATGATCTCAGGGTTGTGGGATCAAGCCCCTCATCCAACCTGCTTATTTTTCTCTCTCTCCCTCCTCCCCTCCCTTCCCACTCATGTGCATGCTCTCTCTCTCTGAAAAATATAAACAAAAATTAAAATATTGAAAGAATACTACCCCAGAAAAGCTGATTTTCAGAAATGGAGAGATAAAACCGTTCCCAAACAAAAGCTGAGGGGGTTCATCAGCATCAGACATGCCTTACAAGAAAAGCTACAGGGCATCCAACTCTTCCAGCAGAAACAAAAGGGTTCCAATTAATATTATAAGAACATACTAATACATTTATACAGTTCACTGGTAATGGTAAACATAGAGTCAAAGTCAGATTCTCTAATGTTGTAATGGCAGTGCATAAGTCACTTACCACTCTAGTTCAACAGTTACATATAAAAACTAACCAGAACTACAATAATTTGTTCACGTAAAGACAATATTTAAAAATACGTAAATTGTAGCATCAGTCACCTAATGTGAGGGATAGAGGATGAAAAGTATAGTTTATGTAAGCTATTGAAGTCAGGTTGTTATCAGCTTCACATAGGGGGTTACTAATAGAAGATAGTTTGTAGAAGCCGTAGTAACCACAGAGGGAAAGCCTGAAATAGACACAAAAAAGATCATGATAAAGGCGTCAAAGCTAAAGATGAGAAGTGAGCAACAAAGGTCCACAGGTAGAAAACAGTGAGCATAATGGCATAGTAAGTCCTTACCTCTCAATAATTACCTTAGACGTTTTTAAATGTAAAAGGATTCTCCAGTCGAGAGACACTGAATGGTTAAATGGATAAATATTTTTTCAAAGATCCAACAATATTCTGCCTGGGAGAGACTCACTCTAGCTTTAGAGACACAGGAAGAGCAAAGAAAGAGAAAAGGATATTTCAAGCAAACAGTGGCCCAAAAAATGGGGGGTAACTATAGTTATATCAGACAAAGCAGGCTTTAAGCAAAAATGATCAAAAGAGACAAAGAAGGTTATTATATAATGATAAAGGGCTCAATCCATTAAGAAGAAATAACAATTGTAAATATTTATGCACCCAATGTCGGAGCACCTAACTCATAAAGCAAATACTAACAAAACAAAAAGGAGGAATAAGCAACAATACAATATTGACTGGGGACTTTAATAACCCACTCTCGAAAATGGACAGATCATCCAGACAGAGAATCGGTAAGGAAACAGCGTGTTTGAACAACACTACAGACCAAACGGACCTAACACATATACGTAGAGCGTTCCATCCAACAGCAGCAGAGCACACGTTCTTCTCAAAGGCACATGGAACATTTTCTAGGGTAGATCGTGTGTTAGGCCACAAGACAAATCTTAGCAAACTCAAGAAGTTGAAATTATACCAAAGAAAATACTCAAATGGCCAACAGGTCCATGAAAAGGTGCTCAACATCACTCGTCATCAGAGAAATGCACATCAAACCCACGATGAGATGTCACCTCACACGTGTTAAGAGGCTAGTGTCAGAAAGACAAGCGGTAACAAGTGCTGGTGAGCATGTGGAAAAAAGGGACCATTTGTGCACCTTTGGGAGGGAAGGCAAACTGGTGCAGCCGCTGTGGAAGACAGTAGGGAGACCCCCTCCAAAGGTAAAAACAGAACTGCCCTGGGGCGCCTGGGTGACTCCGCTGGTCAAGCATCTGACTTTTGGTTTGGGCTCAGGTCATGCTCTCAGGGTGGGGAGACTGAGCCCCCACACTGGGCTCTGTGCTCAGCAGGGACCCTACTTGGGATTCTCTCTCCCTCTGCCCCTCCCCTGCTCACATTCTCTCTCTCTCTCAATTAAATAAATAAAATCTTAAAAAAAAAAATAGAACTATCCTATGATCCAGCAACCCCACTTCTGGAGGCACAGAAAGTGATAGATGATGGAGACAGGGACAGAAAACTAAATCAGTATCTTTTTTTTTTTTTTAAGATTTTTTATTTATTTGAGAGAGAGGGAATGAGAGACAGAGAACATGAGAGCGGGGAGGGTCAGAGTGAGAAGCAGACTCCCCACCGAGCAGGGAGCCCGATGTGGGACTCGATCCCGGGACTCCAGGATCATGACCTGAGCCGAAGGCAGTCGCTTAACCAACTGAGCCCCCCAGGCGCCCCAAACTGAATCAGTATCTTGAAGAGATACCTGCACTCCCACGTTCACCGCAGCATCACTTACAGGAGCCGAGACACAAAACCACCTAAGTGTCCATCAACAGATGACGAGATAAACAAAGCATGAGGTATATATTTCTCGGCCATAAAAGAGAAAGGAACCCTGCCATTGCAGCAACATGCTTGAAACCTGAGGCCATTATGCTATGTGAGACAGTCAGACAGAGACAGGTGAACGCAGTACAATCTCACTTACATGTGGACTCTAAGAAAACCTGAATCCACAGCAGCAGAGAACAGGTAAGTGGTTAACCAGAGGCAAGACGTGCAGGACTGGGGAAATGGGTGAGGGGGTCAGACGTACAAACTTCCAGATGGAAGATAAATAAGCTCTGGGAATGAGACACGCAGCATGGTGACGTTAGTTAACGTACCGTGTGTACAACCATCACATCATTACGTTGTACACGGTACGCTTGTACGATGTCATGTGTCCATTATGCCAATAACTGGGGCGAATGAGGGGAAAAAAGAAAGAACAACGTCAGCGGCAGGATGTAGGTGGTGGGCATACACACGGTCACTGTACAATTCTGGCGACTTGGCTGCACAGTTGAAAACTTTCGTGATAAAACGTTACTTGTAAGGGTGCTGCGTAGGCAGCTCTACAAACAGCCCAAGCAGGGAACGAAGCCTCTGGAATAAGAGCGGGCAGCCGTTCAAGAGAACGAGGAAGGTCCACAGGCGTCAGTGTGCAAAGGTGTCCAAGACTCCGTGCGTGAAGATGCAGATTTGGTACATAAAATACAAGCCAGTTGTCAAACCAAACAAGCCAACCCCGAGGCCATCAGTGCAACCTGGAGATTTCAGATCCAGCTCTGCCACATGCTGAACCCGCCATGGCTACTAGGAAAGGAAGCCTCAGGCGGCGTCTCTGGGAACGGGTCAGGGCAACGGAGCACCTGCCTCAGGGCTGCGGTGGGGTCCGGCTGCTGGCCCGGCGGCTGGCCCCCGTCAGTGGTCAGTGGAGGCTGCATGGCTCTCAAAGGTCCGTACACTGACGTCTGGAGCAGGTGACTCTCGGCTGTGGGGCTGCTATTTTGAGCAGGGGTGTGCCTAGTGGCCCCCTGCAAATCCCACCAAGTTCACCTGCACACCAAGCTACCCATGCCTCCCCACCACCCCGAGAGCACCTCATCCTGGAAAAGAGCGACACCTAGTGACAAGTGCCCCCCTCCCGGCACTGCGGGTGGGCTTCCTGGTTTCCCCTGGGCCAGTGCCCCTCTTCAGCATCGCTGCCCAGACCTTACTTACTTTTTGATGGCAAACACGGTCAGCCCGATGGTGGCATTTTGGAATTGCGCGTCCAGAATGGTAGAGTCAAAGACTCCGTCCCAGATGATGGGAGCAAACCAGGGGGTCATGACCAGCACGTCAGCCCTCCTGGGGAAAACGAGGCACACCGTGTTAGAGCGGGGCGTGGACACGTGGGCCACGGAAGGGAAGCATTTGTCCAAAGGCTCACAGTCTGGGAGCAGCAGAGCGAGAAGCAGACAGGATGCCAGACTCCCCATCCGGTGCTCTTTGCTCCATCAGCTCAGCACCTGAGCCCTGACACTCCCATTCCCTCGCTGCCCTCGCTTCGAGTGTCTCCTCCCCACCAGCCGGGTGCTGGGCCCACGGACACTCCTTCTAGGAGGCCACCAGCGCTGTTTCCCTGGAGGAGCTCTAGCTCAGTGAGGCAAGAACTAAGCCCCTTTCCAGCAAGCGGGATATTTTACATTTGGGGGGATATTTTACATTTGGGGGGACTAAGTGCTTTAAATCCAGTGTGTTTCCCACTGACAGCACATCTCACTCCAGAGTGGTCACATGTCGAGTGCTCGTGGCCTCCCGTGGCTGGTGGCTCTAGAACTTCAAGGAGATGCGCGTTCTGGTTTCAGAAACGACAGCATTTCCAGCTCTCCTGGCCGGGAGGTATGGCCTGGGCTGGATCCCGACCTGTCCCGCCCCAGTTGCGGGGCCTCAGGCAAGTACCTCCACTTCTCTGAGCCTCAGTTTCCCTGCTTGTACAACTGATCAGAGAGGCCTCTGGGTGACCTTGCTGTCTGAGGCCACAGATACGGGCTGCCACTGGGTCTTGGGCAGAACAAGCAGGAGGCGGGGGCGCTGGCTCCGGAGGCCTGACTTGTGGGCACCGGCTCGGAACCGTGGTCCCTGTGACATCAGCAGCCGCAGAAAGACCTCGGGGCCAAGCCAGCCCAGACCGCTGTCGTCCGTCCCCATGAAGAGATAAGAGAGGCTTCTGTGCCTTCTATGGACATCCGTGGCCCCCGGGACCAAGAGTCAGAGGCGCCCTCCGTGGCGCCAGACCCATTAAAAATGAGCCCGGTCACGGCAAGATGGTGCAAGAAGGAAGAGAAAAGGCACAGAAAGGTTGCAGCCCTGGACAGGAGCGAGAGAAAGGAAAGCCTGAGGCCTCGGGGACAGGGAGCCACCACGGGCCGAGGCAGGGACTTGCGCACTCACGTGGGCTTGAGGACCTGGGCCTTGGCGTAAACCATCCTGCAGAGGAGATGTGCGTCAGGGAGAAGTGAGTGGAGACTTCTCAGAGCCCCTTAGTCTGTGCCCACAGCTGCAAGGTGCCGTCCTCCCCATCAGGTTGGCCGGCTCTGCCAGGAGCCCGCACCCAGCCTCAGGGCGCCCGCCCGCCCCCCTCCTGCCCACCTCCCTCCCTCCCTCCCCCCTTCCTGCCTGTCCGCCTGCCGACTTCCCTTCCTTCCTGCCTGCCTCCCTCCCTCTCTCCTCCCTTCCTTCCTTCCTGCCTGCCTCCCTCCTTCCTCCCCTCCTTCCTACCTCCCTCCCTTCCTCCATGCTTCCTTCCTGCCTGCCTGCCTGTCCGCCTGCCCACCTCACTTCCTTCCTGCTTACCTCCCTCCCTCCCCCCTTCCTTCCTACCTCCCTCCCTTCCTCCCTGCTTCCTTTCTGCCTGCCTATCTCCCTCCCTCCCTCTACCCTTCCTGCCTGTCTGCCTGCCCATCTCACTTCCTTCATGCCTACCTCCCTCCTTTCCTCCCTGCTTCCTTCCTGCCTGCCCACCTTACTTACTTCCTGCCTGCCTCCCTCCCATCCTCCTCCCTTCCTTCTCACCTGCCTTTCTCCCTCACTACCCCCTTCCTTCCTGCCTGCCTCCTTCCCTCCCCCCCCCCCCCGTTCCTTCCTTTGCGCCTGCCTCCCCTCCCTCCCCCCTTCCTTCCTCCATCCATCATTGTTCACTAACAGACATCCATGGAGCATGCCCACCCAGCCCTGAGGATGCTGCAAGCTTCCCAATGATAAACTGATGAGGCTAAAGCCCAAGCAAAGGAAAGGGGGTCACCCCTCATGGTCTGTGACAACTGCTGAGGATCTAGACACCCCACATCTCCTTCTTCTCTCCCTGTTCGCTCTAAGTCCTCACGTGGGTCTACCTCATTGTGACTAAGGTCCCGTCCCGTGTCCTGCTTTTATTTGGGGGGGTGGGAGGATGAGGGTTGGCCCACAACTACCCCATCCAGCCCCTACTCTGTGCCAGGATGTACCTCGCCGCCCACCCCCACCCCGCCTACCGGCAGCCTCCTTTGTCCCCCATGCCCTCCCTGGCCACATGGTCCAGTTTTCCACTGAGCTGAGGGCTGAGGAGGTGGGACTGAGTCCACCACAGGTACCACACCTGAGCTGAGGCAGCCACAAAGCCTGAGGTCAAGTGGAAAGCCCCTGTGACCCCCACCATCAAACGTCTCCCCCTGTTCTTCTTTGACCCTCATTACTCTCCTCTCCCCGGACCCCTTGTTCTTCCCTCCCTGTGAACCAGCCTTGGGAGGGGCGGAGGGATGCGGAAGCGAAGGGGAGGGGCACATGTTCACTTGCTTGGAAAGAGGCACAGAAACAGCCCAAAGAGGCGTCCCCCATACCTGGGTACCTCAGGTACTCTGCAGGTGCCCAGGTGGCAGTTGCTTCCACTGAGGGAGAGAAACAGAGTGCTCAGAGCCCGGGGCCGGGTCCTGGGAGAAACGTTGCCCTGCCACACAGGCAGGACTCCTCCAGGGCCACCCACACACAGCCCCTGCGGAGGAAAGCTCCTCATGTGATTCAAAGCTTGGGCCGTGTGGCCAGGCGAGTAGAGCAGGGGTCCGACACAGGACAGAGAAACCTGGACACACTGGCCATGTCTGGGAGCTTGGGGCACAGCTCCGCCTAAGGGGCATTTCACACCGGCGGGTGACAATATCCTGGGGAGAGCCCCTCTCTGCAGGGAGGAGGTGTGGAGACCAGAGGGCAGGAGCCAGGGCCGCCCAGGTGGGCCCTGGGATCCCAAGGGAGCTCTGGCAACACCCCCCGCCAGGGCCCTCCCATCCGGGGGAGCCCAGCTCCCCGCCCCTTACCTGAACTGCTTTGTCTCAAGCATCTGCTGTGGGACCACGCAGCGGTCATCCTGGCTGCAGAGAGGAAAGGTTCCATCTGAGTCACTTCATGAAAAGTAGCGACTGCTAACAAAGTGCCGGGTCCTCAAGAGGGAGCGCCCCAGGCAAAGGTGAGTCCCCCATCCCTGCTGACCCCAACCAGTCCTGGGGAAGGGAGGAGCGGAGGTAGGCTCCCAGAGGAAGCTTGGTGGGGCCGTCCTCCATCTTGCAGGCCGGGAAGGCCAGTCTTGGCGAGTGGAGAGCCAGGAGTGAAAGCCATGACCTCAGTGGCAGGCTGTCCCTTTGGCCCTGAGGGGCGGGGCCGGGGGCGGGGGGAACGTCACTGCTGCTGGAGGGAATTAGTCATGCCAGCATGGCCCCACGAGCCACCTGTCCGTCCAACCAGCTGGACAGAGGGAGGAGAGCTGGGGTCAGGATCTGGCTCTCAGGCTGTGCCCCGCCACACTGGCTAGGAGATCTCATCTCACCTGTTTGCAGGCTGGCCAGAGAGGCCTGGCCCTGGAAGAAATTAGCTCTGAGAGGACAAGTGGGCCTCCCCCAGCCTGGGCCCTCCTGGAATCAGAGGGCACCCCATCCCCAGTTGGCCCCATCAAAGCAGCTGAAGGAGACCCGGAACCAGCGCCACGCGCCATCCCTCCCCGAGGCCCGGCCTTGTCGTGCAGGCTGCTGGGCAGTCCGTCACCTCTGCGAACGTGTCCTCTCCAACAGAGGTCACAGCTCTGCCTTGTCCTTGGCAAGGTTTGAGAAAGCACAGTAGAGGGAGGAGCTTGGAGTCACCCTGGGAACTGAGTATCTCTTTGGCTATAATTATCTCCAGTTCAATACATGCGTGTATTTCTACTTCTGTTCTAGATCTTTCTAGAAGGAACCACCCTGACTCCAAAGACTCCGCCATTACCTTTGAGACTCTCTTCTCTGCCCCCATCCGGGAATCAGGCTGAAAACATTGCTGGGGGACAAACAAGAGTGTGAAGTTGAGTCTTCGCTGGGCAGGAGGACAGACAGGCTGAGACTTTAACACACATATTCCGATCCTTTTGGCCTCTGGCTCCTGAGAAAATAGACATGGGGCCCAACCAGAGCCCCGCTGCCCCCTCCCCATCCCTGCCAGGCAACCGGACCATTGTAACACAATCTCATCACCATAGTAACCAATAGCGTGGACGGGGACCCCGGCATCAGATTCACCTAGATGCGGTTCCAGACCCCCTGCACAGCCCTGAGCAGTGAGGAGGGGTGTGTGTAGAAATCTCTCTTCCTAACAAGCTCCCCGGGTGATCTGCGGACACGCTGAAGTCCAGAGCCCTGCCTCCTTCCTGTTTTCTAACAACGCTGTCACATAGAGAACAGAAGCTGAAGGGCAGGTCACAAGCTCCGTGGCTCGCTTGCTGAGCGTCAGAGCAGGGAGGAAACCACAGTCTTACCTGTGGCTCGACCGCTCGCTCAGTGAATACTGGGGACACGGTGGGGGGGTGTGATGTAACGCTGACTAGCTCTCCTGCCCTACCCTCCCCTGCCCTGACTTCCCCCATCCAAGCACTGCTGGTCCCAGAATAAGCACCCCCTCCTCCAGGAAGCTTCTGTGTGTCCCTGTGAAGTGGTCTCCTCCTGCAGCGTGGGTGGGATTTGGGTTAGGGTGTGAGCATCTAACCTCAGCCCCTCCACATTGCCACCTTCGGGACAGGGACAGTGCCTGAATCGCCTCGGGGTCCCAGGTACCCAGGCTGGAGCCTCACAGGTGTGTAGGGAGCGAACGCATGAGCAAGACAGGGGTGAATGCATGAATGCAGCTGAGCTGATGGTGCCAGCACAGGGGAACCCACGGGGGGAACACGGGAGGCTGCATCCCCCACGACCTTGCCCACCTCCTCATGACCTCATCGGCTCTCAGACTGCAGCAACCCACGTATGCGGATACCTCACATTCCCTCTTTCCACGCAGACCGCTCCCTGGAGGTCCGCAGGCTCCTCAAACTCAAATCGTCCAGAACAGACTTCACGTCATGGCCCCTCCCCGGCTTCACCCCTGTAGGTACCACCTCTCCTGGTGACACCACTCTCCAGCAGGCACTGGTGAGGAAGGAGGGGCCCCGATGGGCACAGACCAGACAGAAGAGGTGTCGACAGCCCTAGGAGCCTGGCGGCAGAACCCTGGGGAGCCAAAAACGCGATGTGGCTAAGTCTAGGGCTCCGTCTGTGGGGGACTTCTTCCTCTTGCCAAATTAGAAGGTAATTTTGCCCATCAATGAATTCTGTCCTAGGACTTATCCTGGTTTGTGTCAATTAAAACAAAACAAAACAAAAGGCAGCGAGAGATTTTTTAAATCACTCTTTGCACATTGAGGTCATCTTTTAAAATTTAAATGTTCATTTGAAGAAAGAGCTCCTATTGTGAGCTTTTGAAAAGTGCCGAAGGTGCTCATATAGGCTTACTCACATCAGGATGGGATTTTTAAGTTATACTCAAACAAAACATGTAAAAATTCTACATCCACAAAAATTTTATGAAAGGAGCACGTGAGGAGGCAACGTCCAAGGGGAAAAATAATCTGCTCTAAAAGAAAATTTATACCAAGAAGAAAATAATCAGATGAATCTTTTGGGTTCTGAATATTTATCAGTCTAAAAAAATTAAAAAGGCAATCCAAGGTATGTCAAAATGAGGGGAAAAGAAGATAAAATGAGATGTAAACACAGAACAATGCAGAGGAAGAGGGTGCTGGATGAGTAAGTCAAAAGAACCACGGGATCTAGATCGAGAATAGAGGCCAGAACCCCGACCCCTGACCCCTGACCCCCGAACGCCAACCTCCCACACCAGACCCCTCACGCCCAACCCCAGAGCCGTCGGGCCGCCACTCTGGGCACCTGAGTGTAGCAGACGGTCGGGCCAGACGGGGTGAGGGGCTTCAGACTGGGTCACAGCGGGAAGCTGCAGGGCACGGTGACAGGGGGCTCCACATACTCGAAGGCATGACACGGAAGGTGCCACAGACTCTCGGTGCTCCCTGGGGTCCTTATGATACGAGGAAGAATACTTTCACGCAAGGTGAGGACACGTTCTCAGAATCAGACTTTGGGGCGGGCTGCGTTCAGAGAACGGCGTTCTCCTGCTGCACAAAGTCAGGTGGAGCCGGGCTCATCTACGGGACAGCCCGTGGAGCCAGCTCAGCCCCGTGGCCCACAGCACGACACAGGCAAGCTCTGGAGTGGGGCCGGGCCCCGGGAGGCCAGCACGGCAGCTCGGGAGGTGCCTCTGCAGGTCGGCAGCCCCCACGTAGTGGGCAGAGACCACCTGCAATGTCACGCCCCGCCCCAGCCCCCGTCTCTGCTCCATATATAAGGGGCTGCACTTGTTGCTTAGAGCAGACTTGCTCTGTGAAGCCCCAGCGCGTCTCCAACTCTGGGAGGTCAAGGGGGGTCTTCCACCCAGGAGATCCAGGAAACCCTGTATCCACTCGCGTGACAGCCTATCCCCTGCCTACTCCCCCTTCCAGACCTGACACTGTTCAGGACAGGGGGCTGTCCCATTGACAGCGACATGTCCACACCCCCCACCCACCCCTGGAGCACCAGGTTCAGTAAACACCTGCCTAGGTCAATGTGTTGATTTGTCCAACCGCACAAGAACATCGTTTTCCAAATTATGCACTGGCTGGACTGTCAGCCCTGAGATGAGATGCACAGGAGCCTGGGAAGTGGGTTTGGAAGGGTCTGCATCTTGACCTGGCCACTTCCTACCTTGGAATCTGGGTGTCACCTGGACCTCTGGAGCCTCGGTTTCTCAGGGGATAATAATGCATATCTTATAGGTTGTCGAGAGAAGGTACAAGAATGTCCATCAGCATTTTGCTCAGTGCCTAGCGCAGAATAAAAATCCAATAAATGGAAGCTCCTTCTAACAAATTTCTTTTTTTTTTTTTTTTTTAGAAAGACAGAGTGTGAGTAGTGTGGAGAGGGACGGGGGAGAGGGAGAGAGAATCTCAAGCAGACTCCCCACTGAGCGTGGATCCCTACATGAGGCTCGATCTCATGACCCTGAGATCATGACCCTGAGATCATGACCTGAGCCGAAACCAAGAGTCAGACCCTTAGCCGATGGGGCCGCTCAGGCACCCCACTAACAAATTTCTTTACAAAGGTCATCAGTGAAAACGTGTATAGCTCTAAAACTTAACCACTAACCGCAAATGCCTTCTTGTGGTCTGAACTATATATTCAAACAGTCAGCATCCACCGCGAAGTGGAGGCTAGGGACAATTTCACCCTGTGGGGTAAGACCTGCTGAACTGAAAAAGTATCCACTCGATTCTATTTTTTTAAGGGGACGAAATTTTACTACGTTTGTTTTAAAACATAAACTTTACTGTTTCTTTAAAATTAAGGAAATGCGGTTAAAAAAGGAAAAAAGGTGTTATCGTCAAATATGCCATAATAAATCCCACCCTGCCATCGGGACCCCAGGACCACTCCCTCCCCCTCCCCCCCCCCCCCCCCCCCCCCCGCATCTTACCTGAAGAAGCCCAGGAGAGCAGCAAAGAGCAGGGACCTGCACAGCCAGAAGTTGGCACTCTTTCTGCAGAAACCTGTGGAGAGGAAGCCTCAGTTATTCAGGGCTGGGTTACCTAAATCACTTTGCTGAGGCCAAAACTGAGTCCTGGCCAGGGATGGGCCGGGCGGGGTCCTGGCACTTTCCACTTCACTTTCTGAGTCCCCCGTTCTTTTTTTTTTTTTTTAATTATTATTTATTTATTTGAGAGAGAGAGAATGAGAGAGAGCACATGAGAGGGGTTAGGGTCAGAGGGAGAAGCAGACTCCCTGCTTAGCAGGGAGCCCGATGCGGGACTCGATCCCGGGACTCCAGGATCATGACCTGAGCCGAAGGCAGTCGCTTAACGAACTGAGCCACCCAGGCGCCCTGAGTCCCCCGTTCTGACACAGAGCAGGTTGGCCCAGGTGAAGCTGAAGGTCCCATCAGCTCACTGGTTGGGTTGGCCATGTGCAGGGAGCTCTCTTGTGATCCCGGATGCAAAGCACGAATGTCACATGCACTCTGGACAGGAAAGGAGGAAACACCGAGGCGGCTGGCACGGTGGGGCTAGCGGGCCACACACAGAGAACACAAGAAGGAGAGGCAGGAGGGGCATACCTTTGTTAATAGTTTATAGATTTAATGGTAATTCGTATCTCCTCTTATCCATACCAAGTCCTTTTCTCTGCTTCCCTTATTTTGCTCTTCTTTTCCTTATTGAATGGGGATGTCTAATTTACTTGTTTTTATTTCTTGTTTTCTAACCTAAAAAATTAAATCAGTTTATTTCTGGGGTGCCTGGGTGGCTCAGTCGGATAAGCATCTGCCTTAGGCTCAGGTCATGATCCCAGGGTCCTGGAATCGAGTCCCACGTTGGGCTCCTGGCTCTGTAGAGAGTGTGCTTCTCCCTCTCCCTCTGCCCCTCCCCCCTGCTCATACTCTCTCTCAAATAAATATAGTATCTTAAAAAATCAGCTCATTTCTCTGAGCACTGCATCAGCTGCAACCCACCGACTCTGAAGCCCCTGTCTGCTTGCTTTCTTCCCAGTTGTTGAGAGATTTTTAAAAATCACTGGAGGGTAGCAGTTTTTATTGTATTATTATTATTATTTGCTATAATTTGAAAATGTTAATGTTGCCTGCAGCATTCTTGTTTTATTTAGTGTATTAAGATTTATTTTATAATGAGCTAATTTGTGACCACTCCGTGAGTATTTGAAAATTTATACGGTCTACTCTCAGTATACACGTCACACCTGCATGGGCGAATCTGTCACTTCAGATTTCGGAATTATTCTGTGTCGGGCTCATCCAAATGAACTGACAGAAATAGCTAGAAGCTCATTTAGCCCTTCTCCCTTGCATTTTACGTTAATGATGTGCTGTTTGATGGACAGATAGTCCCATCTACCCAGCTCCGTTGAGAATGCCGCTTGTTGTCATAAGAAGCCGGCTGTTTCTCAACCATGGCTCCCGTCCCTGAAGTCAGTGGCGACAGGGACCATGAGCGCAGCCTAGAGATTCTTTGCATTCATTGGGTTTCCTTGTGAACCTTTTGGTTGTGAGTCCATCTGCCTCACATCGCTGTAAAGTGTGTTTCTTATTCACATTACTGAGTTCAGGCTTGCTTTGTGGTCCAGGTGGAAACTCCTTGCCTTTGATAAGGGAATAGAATGGATTATCAGTTATGGCCACAATATTTACTTAGTCCTGTGAAGTTCTTCCTGTTTGTTTTTTACAGCTTTGAAGGACCTTTAGCTTTGGTTGGTGTTCTTTGGTGTGTTTTTCAATACTTTGGAATTTCTCTTTGCACTTTCTTAATGCTTTATTCCATTTTACTTCCCTACATGTTTTGTCTATGCCTCTCAGAGGTGTGTAAAATTTTAGGAGTGTTTATTCTTTCATATCCTGCTTCTAATATTATTTCTGTGATGACTTATTTTTCTTCCACTCTTTCCATGGGCTTGTCTGATTTTTTTAAATGATTTTATTTTTAAGTAACCTCTACGCGCAATGTGGGGCTTGAACTCACAAACCTGAGATCAGGAGTCACATGCTCCACAGACTGAACGAGGCAGGCTCCCCTTGCCTGATATTTTTCAATCCTTCTGTTGACTCACTATCTCCTCAATAAGGTCGTTTTTCTACTTTGGGCTTTGGGCTTTCTTTATAGAGGTGATTGCTTTTTTTATATTTTTAGTTCTTAAATATTTGAGAAAATTCACTGGCAAAAAGCATTTTGGCGTGGGTTCTTCAAGTGCACCTGCTACCGGCTCTTTGCTTCTTTGTATCGTGTGGTATTACACAGCTCTCATGCGAATTCCCACTTTGAAACTCATTGAAGATGAGGTTCTTCCCCGCCCAGGTATCTGCCCCAGTGTCAATGACGCAGGATGAAACATAATTATCTTTCAGAGCAACAGGATTTTCCTTATGGCCCGAGGCTGGATGTGCAACCTTCAGCTTTTATATCCCTGAGTCAGAGAGAAAGGAAGCTGTAGGAATGTTCTCAAAGCAACGTCCCTGTCACCACAGCCCCCACCACAGAGGAGTTCCAGCCAGGGTGGTGGAGTCTTTGTCCCCTCGCCACACTCTGCTTCCCAGAACCAAACTCCCACGCAGGCTCCAGCTGCCACACTTCCCCTCACCTTCTCGGGGCTAGCACAGGCTTTGTAGTTGCATCGTGGAGAAGGGGACTTATCAGTCCTCCCAGAGATCTACAACCAAGGACAGCCCCTCCTCACTTCATTCTCCTCCCATCCAATCCCTGCTGGCTTCCGCACCGTCAACTGTTGTATGGGTTGGGACATCAATGCCTCCTCCTTACAACTAAGGTGGGCTTGTCTTCTATTTTCCTAGTTGGCTTTGGTGCTTTCTGAGAGAAGAAATACCAGCTTTATGCTGACATCATCAAGTTGGGTGTGTCATAATCTCTTAATCCCTTCTGCTTAGATCAACAGTTGTCATTTACAGCTTGCAGTTAAGAGCCGTGATTGACATAGAAATCTGTGCCAGGAGTGGTGGCAGGCAGCCTCTCCTCGGGAAGCATCGGCCTCTTCAAAGCATCCTGGCTCTTCCTCTGGGCACTGACTAGGCTGCATTTCTGTGCCCAATGAAAGTAGGTGCAGCTATGTGACTTGTTTTGGCCAGTGAAATGTAAGAACGTGTGGTGCTTGCAGACAAAAGCTTTCAGATCCAATGTTTTTAGTCTGCCTGTTTTCCTAACTGATAAACTTTACCACTGAGAGCAGTTTCAGGTTCTCAGCAAAACTGCAAGGAGCCAGCGTCCTCATCCTCACAGCCATCTCGCTTTCCTGTCTCTAGACCTACAAGCAGAGTCAGACCCCAGCAGGCCCCAAGTACCCAATTACAAGGTCAAAGTAGGAAGGTTCAACTAAGTAAACAAACATTTGCTGCTCTATATCCAAAATTATCAAGGAAATATGTGGGAACTGATCCGGGAAGTACAGGGCCAGAAGGCGGGATGCAATGTCAGACTGGCTTGCATCTGGAGTCAAGATTCAGTGGGCCAGCTAGGGAACTAGGAAGAATTCAGTGATTTCCTCTGTTGCCCAAACAAAACCCGGAGTCACTGAGGTCCACACTAAAGTAAGTGAAGCTTCCGGAAATCCCCTGGAATAACAGAAAGGTAAGAAACCCCAATGGAGCGGTAGGCTTGTTGGAGGAGCCTTACCATGTTACCTGCTCATCCACCAACAGATGGCCAGGGGCAGATCCAGAAGACACACCTTTGCCACATGCAGGGCTCAGACATCCTGGAAAAGCAGCACGGTGGCTCTTCTCTGAACCTGGAACGCTGGTAGGAGACCATAACTGAGCTCCCAGGGCCAACACAGGTGTCACAACCCAAGAGCAGAGAACACGCAGCAAAGTGTTATTTCCACAGGCCATGTATGCAAGCTTCCTGTGACTTCCTGCCAGACTAGTGCAGTGAACTGGATGGGACGACCAACCGGGGTCTGGAGACCCCTCTCTCTGACCCCCAACCCCAGGTCTGGTGAACAGAAGCCTCACTTGAGCTACCTGATTGGTCACAGCCCCTCACTGAATTTCTAAACATGCATTAGTTCAAGTCCTGGGGCCCCAAACACGAAGGAAGGCTGGCTGGGATCCTTCTTCTGAGCCCCACCCAAAGAGCCAGGGCCAAAAGGAGACTACTGCTGACCTTAAAACCGCCGGTACTTGACCAACAAAATGGGTTTATTTGGGAATAGCAGAGAATTGCAATTCAGGACATACAAGCTAAGTAAAACCACAGACAACTCCAACAAAGAAAGAAGTGTTATTTTATGAGGAGAAAGTTAGAAGGGGCTGTCCTGAACCGACGTCCACTGGGCAAGAGCAGGAGTTCAGGGCGAGGGCAGTTTCTCAATGGCTGAGTTGCTGGAGTCGTGGATTTCTCACAGGAGATGAAGCGTCCATCCTTCTGTTGGGTCTGTAGTCCTGATTCTCTCCTGTGGAGGATACTTCTGCTGGGGTGTGTGACGGTTCTTTCTGGAACTGACTCTGGGTGACACAGTGCACGAGAGCTCCTCTTTCTGGCCTCCTGACTCTGTTTTAGTGAGCTTTCCCTGTATTACTTTTCATACTACCACAATCTTTGGGACTGTTGGAACCCCAGTTCCTGTGCAGGAGGGGTTCTGGTTAGGGCAATCTTCATCCGTTTCCCTCTGCCCGAGCGGGGGGTACCTTTGAAACTGGGGCCTACCACCATTTGGTTCTGGAAATGTTTTCTTCTCTATTGTCCATGTGCTATCGTCCACTAATGCCCCTGGATGAGCTGCTTGTGTTGCCCCCCTACCCCAGAACACATCATGTGCTGCCCTGCCCCACACACCAGCAGCCCTGAAGCTCTGGGCCAAGGAGGGGGTGACTGGCCAGGCCTGGGGAGGCCGAGAAGGTGATTCAGGGCATTTTCAGTGCTGACACTTGGGAGTTAGGTTCCATCTCCCACAATGACACACAGGTAACTCAGAAGTATGTTTTTAAACTTCTGAATATGAAACTTCTACAATCACGCCTCAACTATAACAACTAGATCATGCCGTGGCCAGACAACACCCCTGGTAGGACACCGATTCCTTGAAACGGAAACCTTGCTTCATGGACCAGGCGGTCAGTTCTCGTTGCTGCTCCAGATGCGGGTGGAGAGTCTGCACCTTGTTTCCAGACACACCGCTCTGTGTCCTTAGACAAGCTCATCAACTCTCATCTAGACCTTCCTTATCCACCGGAGTTCTGCCGGGTGTTTCTAGGCCTAAGAGAGGCACCAGAAATCCTCTGCTCTTGTCTGTGAGCAGATTTCCCCTGGGAGACTTGCAGCTCCATCACTGGGGGCGTCAGAATCGCTCTGCCTGCAGGTGGCGTGGAGCCCCTCCATCCCGCAGTGATCTACTTTCCCCTCCGCAGTGCTGTTTATCCTCAGGTCCACTCTGTCCGGTACAGCCTCGCCAGCCTTTCTGTTACGGTGTGTTTAACTGGAACTCAGTCAAACAGTTATTGACGGCTTTACTGAATTATTACTCAGGAGCCATGAAATCCCCCCCGGGGTCCTGTGCGTCTGCAGCGGGTCTGCCTGCCCGCAGGTGTGCGTGGAATTCCACCCCCTCACTGGGCATCTTCCATCGCCTCACTGAGTCCTAGCTTCTAGCCTTCCTTGTCTCCTGCCTTCTCCTGGACTGACGTCCTCCAGCCCACCCCGTCTCCCCCTTCCTCCCAGCATGGCGCACACTGTGCTGAACTTCCAACCCACATCTCTTTTTTTCCACTAAAGATTTATTTTAGAGAAACAGCAGGAGCAGGAAGAGCAGAGGGAAAGCAAGACAGAATTTCAAGCAGACTCCACGCTAAGGGTGGAGCCTGATGTGGGGCTCCATCAGAAGACCCTGAGATCAGGATCTGAGCCAAAACCAAGAGTCAGGTGCGCTTGAATCTCTGAGCCCCTGAGGCAGCCTCCAGCAGGCATCTTAACTCTTTTCAGGCGGGTGTTTACCTTAAGCTCTAATTTTTGCTCCTCTTACAAATCAACTCAGGATAACTCCCTCCCAGTCACACCCAAGGTTGGCTCCACCCTCTGCCAGTCACCTGAGGCCAATGCCACCTTGGACTGGGCTACAGCAATTCTGAGTTTCCTTCTTTCCAGGTGAGTTTTGGACTGACCTGGATAGTCCCAAAGGCCATTCTTTCCCAGCTCCTGTCAAGCCAGGAGGAGAAGAAGGAGCCAGTGGAGTGCCCCCACCAGAACCCTCACGCGCTCCACACATCCCTCACCCTGCAAACTTCTGGGGAGCTCTGCGGCCTCCCAAGAGAAGGCTGGAACCTGGACCCGGTCACCTCTTTCCAGGCTCTGAAGATCTATTTCTCCATTCTCAACAGCGCTCCCTTTCTTTCTTACATGGGAGCGGAGCCCTCACAACCAGCTTGCAGGGTGAGCCCACGGAACCCCCCACCACTTCCCAGGAGCCTAGACCACAAAGACTGAGCTCCTGGCCGCGGTCACACGAGGTGGGAGCGCAGTCCCAGGTCAGGGACAGGTCTGGGCGCCCGGGCTACAGGCCCTCACGCCAGGCCGGCCCGCTCCAGGTCCTGGGGCAGGATCCGGCCCTTCTTGCGGGCCTTCTCTAGGCGCCGCTCAGCCCGGGCCACCTTCTTCTTGCGCAGGTTCTGCCGCCGCTTGTCCTGCCGTTGCTGCATCTTCTCAACCACTTGGGCCGTGCGCTTCTCCCACCTGCGCTTCCGCTGCTCATGCCGCTTCTCCTTGCGCTTCAGGGCCTCCTGCAGCAGGTGCTCGTCGTCACGGATGCGCACGCCCTCGGCCTTGTACAGCAGGTTGGTCCACTGCATCTTGCTCTCCAGCTCCCGCGCCTTCCCCTCATCCCGGTCCCGCAGCTCTTCCAGCCGAGCCTGCCGTGCCTGCAGGCGCTCCAGCAGCTGCCGGTAGTTCCGGCCCGTCAGCGGCGCCAGGTTCCCCTTCAGCTTCTGCCTCTTCTCCTTCCGGCGCTGGGCCCTGCTGGCTGCTTGCTCCTCGGTCACCTCCACCTCAGAAGTAAGGGTTGCAACCCAGGTGAATTACAGCTTTACGGTGCCTTTCCCTCGAACGCTCACAAGCACCCCCGTGGGCAGGCACTGGTCGCCACCCCACTCTGCAGACTGGCAGTTGTGGGCCAGAGGTCACACAGCCAGCCAGGGGTAGAGCCCGGGTCCCCACGCTCCATGGCTGTGTCCATCCCTCACCTTATTGAAGAGCAGCCCCGGCTGCACCTCCTCGTGGGGCTGCTCATGGGGCAGCTCATGGGGTGGCTTGGCAGCCTCCGCAGCCTTTGCCACCTTCTCCTTTGCCCTCAACTCCCTTCGTTTCCTCTTTTTCCGGTCCCGCTCCTGCTTTCTCCGCCATCTCTTCTCCAAAGCGGCAGGAGACAGCTCCGTGTTGTGTCCCTGGAGGAAGGGAGCAAAAATTCATGTATAAGGGGGCGCCTGGGTGGCTCAGTCGTTAAGCGTCTGCCTTCGGCTCAGGTCATGATCCTGGGGTCCTGGGATCGAGCCCCGCATCGGGCTCCCTGCTCCGCGGGAGGCCTGCTTCTCCCTCTCTCACTTCCCCTGCTTGTGTTCCCTCTCGGGCTGTGTCTCTCTGTCAAATAAATAAATAAAATCTTAAAAAAAAAATTCATGTATAAGGTCCTTCCAATTTGCGGGGCCCCGGTCTGGGATGTGGAATCAGGGCAGGAAAGCAGGTGAGGAGACTGCTGAGCAGGACAAGCTGCCCACTGACTTCAGTGTTCCTCTGTGAAATGATCTATCACCTAGAACACAAGGGACCCCCAAAAGGACAAGAGAACCCCTGAGTTCATGGTTTCCAGTCCCCAGGCGCATTACACCAGGGCACTTTACAAACACGGTTCCTCTATCTTTCTAATGCTTCCATAGGGAACATGTCCTGCATCACTTCATAGATGAAAACAACAGGCTTAGCCAAAGCCACCAACTAGAACGTGGCATGAGGTCAGAATGACCCAGTGCCTGTGCTGACCATGGCACCATTATGCTGGTGACATCCCTGACCCCTTCCTTCTAAAGGCTAACAAGAGAACCCTAGACCAGGCTGACCCAGACCTGTGTGCAGAAGGACCAGGCCCGGAGCTTGGACCACTCCTTAGGAATGACCCCCGGACTTATCCCCAGGCAGATGCACAAAGAAGTTGGGGGACCGTCCCCACCCAGCAAGAGGGCCAGGGCATGTCCCCAGTGAAGGGCAGGTGGTGGCTGAGTGGGAGAACTACAATGCTAGCACAAACAGCCCAAGCCGGTTCAGGTCTGGTGCTCCCTGTGCAGATCACCTCATCTCAGGTCCTCGCCTAACTTACAGGGCTGTCATGACACTTCGGGGGACAGAAGTGCTGCCTGGTATGTTCAGCAAAGGCAGCTTTCCAGAGAGAGGAGGCTGAGCCTCTTTCGAGGGCACAAGGAATCTGCAGCCCAGCACAGATCATACAAGGCAGGTGACTCTGGGAACGCAGGCTCCCCGAGAAGCCACAAACCACACCTGATCTCTTGCCAAACAAAGCTGCCAAGGCCCTGGCAGGACCCGCTACAGCGGTGGGAAAAGCAGCTGACGTCCCTCCGGTCAGCCCTACAATGGCTGGCAGAGCTGGGAGCCAACCCCACAAAGAGCACCAAGGCACCTTCTCCTCCAGGCAGAGCAGGGAAACCACTGCAGGAAACCACACTGCTCCCTGAACCCCAGCGGCCTCCCCACTCACCTGGCCCCGGGCCTCCCGCATTTTTTCATGTAGCCGCTGCCGCACAACATCCAGGGCAAACAGGGAGTCAAGTTCTGTGACCAGAGTATCTATAAGGTAGGAAGTGGAGAGCTGAGAAGAAAACCCCTCCCTGATCGTCCCGTCCCTTTTCCCAAGGCCCAGCTTCAAAGCCTGAACCTCCACACGCTGCCCCCACCCCACGACCACCAAGTGGCCACTTGTCCACCTGCAGGGCAGTTCCAGTAAATTCTACTCCACCTCTTCAGGCTGGAATGGCCCCTAAGACATCCTCCAGAACAGAACACCCCTGTGCAAAAGGACCAAGTGTGACAAAACACTTCCTACAAGTCAAGCCAAACCCATCTCTCATTTCTTCCAACTTCTGCAGCCTGGGGTTCCCTACGTCTCTCCACAGGTCAGTTCTCATGACTCCCCTTCAGACACCTGCGGGCAGTGAGGCTCTGCAGGGCAAGCTGCTCCAGGTCCTCAGGGGGACATGACCTTGCCCCTCACCAGACCCAGTTGCCAAGTGGCCTAGAACCACTGTGTACTTCCAGGGATCTTATCTACCCAAGAGCCCCTGGATCTGTCCCCTGAAAGCTCACTCTATGGAAAGTCTCAAGGTACCCCAGTGTGCCTGGCACCATATTTTCTTAGGACCATGTTTTCACCTGATCTCAGCTGGCCCTGCTCCACATCCCCATCTGCTGGAGATCCCATGGAGCTGAAGGCCTCTCCCTCCTCAGGTACTGCTGGCTTTTTGTTCCTGGAAGATGCTGGAGACTTTTCCCCTAGAGCCTGGGTCTTCAGGTCCACAGCCTTTTCCCGCTCCCGGGATTTCTTCTGCGCTTTCTTCCTCTTCTTTTTTGGGGGCCCAGCAGCTTCTGAGCCTTGAGTTTTGCTGGCTGAAACACAGAATTAAAAAGGGCTGCAGTCCCAACCTTTGCGACCCATTCAACTGGCAGGAAAAGTCTTGCAAAAGCTTTGATCCCAAAAGGAGGCTGGGAAGGACAACCCACCCCTATCTGTAGAGCTCAGACCCACAAACCCTAGAAAGCACATCGGCCACACCTCTCAAAACCCTGAAAAACATCCACACTTGACCCAGCAGTCTGCTTGTGAGAATCCATTCCGGATATGCACAAAAATATGGCCTCAGAGATACTCATCACAACGTCGTCTGAGAGAATAACTAGGAAAACCTAAATACCCATCTACAAGGTCAAGTTAAGGCACTGCTATGGATAAAGTGCTGCTAAATGAGGACGCAGGTTTCATTTTAACGAATCAAGTAAGGTTCACATTTACCGGATAAAACGAGTACACAAAGTAGAGTGTTTTAATACATAAACTATGCTCATGGGGAGAAAACCTGAAAAGACATGAACCTAAATTATAACCGACTACTTAAAAAAACTCACTTAAGTCTTTTAACTTTGTATACCGAACAAGCTTGCTTTGCATAAAAACAAAAGGTCGTTTTTTCTCTAGCTCCCTGCAGCCCCTGCCACTCTCCCCTCCTCCCGGCCCAGGCAGCACTCCCAAGCCCCAGCTCCTGTGAGGTCCGCCTCTGTTTCACTTGTTGTGTATCGACCTCCCAGCCACCCAAGCCCCATAAACCCTCACTGCCAGGAGGCATCCCGGTTCCCTGCTTCTCACTGCCCTGCCCACTCTACCGGCTCACCTCCTCCAAGCCCCGCAGGAGCCGCCCGCCCGGTGAGCGGATGGAGCTGGACTCCCGGAACCCCTAGGCTGATGCCCACAACAAGCAAGGAGACAGCGGCAACTTTAAACACCTCTTGTCTGTCTTCCTAGAATCTTACAAGCGTGTTCCGCGCATCTACGCGTCTAACCCGGCCGAAGGCTACAAGGTACAGTGCGGGGGACGCCGGCCGGCCGCAGCGGGCGGTGCAGCAGCCCCCGCCCCGACCAAGTCCCGCCAGGCCCGACCCCGGGCGGCGCATTACCGGACTTGCGTTTCTGCGGCTCCGGGCTGGGCTGACGGCAGATTTTCCTGGCCAGGCCCTGCAGGTAGGCGTCCTTAGCGAGCAGAGAGGCCATGGCCGCATTCTCCGCGGCCCTCCTCGTGGGGCACACACACTACCCCGGCAGCTTCCGCCGCACCACCCACGCCGGAAACCGCGCGTTGCGCAGGCGCCGCCGGCCGAGCGCCGAGCCGCCAGCGCGCGGCGCTCGATTAGCCAGGCTTGGCCCCACCGGAAGAAGCGCGTGGGGCGGGGCGCAAGGCATTGTGGGCTTTGGGCGGGTTCCGTGGTTCCCGGGCGCTGCCCGCGGAGCGGGGAGGAGCTGGTGCCCCCCACCCCCAGCACTGTGCCGCGTCCACTGTAGGCGCTCAGTACCTGGGGGCACCAGGACAGACCCGCCGTGGCTCAGGCCTCGGGGGACTCGAATCCCAAGCGGACCCTGGCGAGAGCACGTCCGCTCAGAGAGGACCGCGCGCCTAGCAGGTGCGGGGCGTGCTCCAAGCGCTGGAAAAAAGCACGCACCAGTGCCCTCGGCAGGTTTGCGTTTCGGTGGTGACGGGCGAAAGTAAGACTCGCACAGGATGAGCCGGGTAATAGGGAGTGCCCCGGAGAAAGGTCCGGGGGAAAGGGATGTGAGGTGTTGTAGGGAGGATGCTGGGGCGCTCAGGGAAGACCCGCTGGAATCTTTGCTCTGAACAGTGCAATCACAGACTAAGCTTTACAACAAGGCTTCTCCCTTAAGAACCGACGGGGGGTGGGGCGCCTGGGGGGCTCAGTCGCTTGAGCATCTGCCTTCAGCTCAGGTCATGATCCTGGGGTCCTGGGATCGGGCCCCCAGTGGGGCTCCCTGCCCAGCGGGGAGTCTGCTGCTCCCTCTTCTGCTGCTGCGCGCTCTCATTCATTCATTCATTCATACATACATACATACGTAATAGATAAATAAAATTAAATACGAAATCTAAAAAAAGAACTCGGGAAGGAAAGGAGTGTTCACCAGCCTGAGGCTGGAGAACCCCGCACCTGGTTCCTTAATTCATAGCAATGGACAGGCTTTGACACAACCCAGAGCCCTTTGAGGGTTGCCTTGGGGTGAGTAGAGAAGGGGGCCTTGCGATACTCATCAGGGGAAGGGAGAGACTGGGGCATGGGTTTATAAATTACAACCTCAAAATATATTTAAGAAGGCTTCTGATGTTCTATCTGAAGCACTAAGGGTCTAACTTTCTACCCCTAATCTCTGTCACGAGGTGCCGTTTTGAGGAGAGGATAGCTTCATCGTCGTCCCCCACAGATTTTCAGTGCACGCAGTCTAATCTCTATACAGCACACTCACTGAACCATAAACATGTTCTTTCTGGCACCGTCAGTTTTAACCATCAAAGCCAGACGCATTGAGGGACAGGGATGTGAGCCGGGGGGGCTGGGATGATGGGTCCTCTTTCAGCGAGACTTCCGGTCCACACCCAAGTCTGGGGTTCTCTGTCCTGCATCACCATCTCCAGGGAGGTGTTTGAGGCTTTCCTGAGGTCTTTGCTGGACAGGGGGTAGCAGACGCCACAGAGAAGGGAGAAAAAAGTGGAGTTCCGAGTGCAAATCTAGATTCATGGGCCTTAATTTTAAGTTACCTTTTCTGTGAGAGTTGTCTGGAGGGTTGAACGAGCTCATCCTACCTCCTCCCTGAAATCCTGTCCTCACAGGATTTTGGGAACCCCAGATGACGGGCCTTCCTCCTACCTACCTGCTCTCTCCTCTCTGGGCCTCACTTCCCTTTTCTGTCAGCTCTTACTGCACAGTGACCCCCCTCAGGGCTCCTGACTTGGTGCTGACGACTCCCCTGAACTCCAGGCCCACCTCTGGACGTCTGAGACACATCTCCATGAGTATGTGCAGAACCCTGCCTCCCCCAGCTGCCTGCCTTCTGTCTCAGTTAAGGCCACTCCATGCTTCGAGGCTCAGATCTTGATGCCACGCCTCCTCTCATTCCCCGCACCCAGTCCTTGAGCAAATCCTGTTGGCTGTCCCCTAAAAGTATCCCCAGGGGGGAGCACAGTCCGTTGGGCGTCTGTCAGTGTCGCCTTCCCCCAACCCTGCCTCTCTGCCCCTCCCCCGCTCATACCCTCTAAAATGGATACATCTTTCTTTTTTTTTTTTAAGATTTTATTTATTTGAGAGAGAGAATGAGATAGAGAGCATGAGAGGGGGGAGGGTCAGAGGGAGATGCAGACTCCCCGCCGAGCAGGGAGCCCCATGCGGGACTCGATCCCGGGACTCCAAGATCATGACCCGAGCCGAAGGCAGTCGATTAACCAACTGAGCCACCCAGGCGCCCTGGATACATCTTTTTAAATAAATAAATAGTATAACGAGAACTGTACGTCACCCACTCCAGACCACCACCCTGATCCTGTTGTAGATTTCAAAAGACTAGAAGAAATAGTAAGTAAATGCAGTGCAAAATAAAAATAAGTATAACAAGATATTTGGAGAACAACCGGGGAAAGTAGAATGTGTCATGATCCTAGATGCTATTACGGAATGATTGTTCACTTTGGGCCTGATGCTGGCCTTGAGCCGTGGAGAGTGTTGGGTTTTCTTAGAGAGGCAAGCTGGCAGGTGTTTAGACATGAGGTGTCACGAGAAGGCCAGCAGCTATTAAATCAGGTAGTTTTTATAAATGAGAGCGCAAGTAAAGGTGCAAAAGGTGAATCCAGAGACAAGTCTGTGTGGGTGTTCTTTATGTGACCTTTATGCCTTCATCAGGGGTTTGAACGGTAAAACACTTGCGATACAAAGGTGGTATGACTGAGGACCACCCAGGGTTTAGCGACGTGGAGGCCACTGGGGACCCTAATACATGTAGCTCGGCTGGGGTCATGGAGACAAAACCTGCAGGAAGCTGGCTCAGAGGAGAGCTGCCAACAGCCCGTTTCTCCCGTGAGTTCGTTGTGCTGCCGGGGCATGGGCTGGAGAGGAAGAGGTGGCGGAGAGCTGCCTCGCTTTAGGAGGAACAACTTCATTTTCCAACGGGAGCAGTGGCCCAGCCCAGGAGAGCATAACACCGATGGTGCAGAGATCTTGCTGCTTGGGTGTTTGGAAATTGAAGACACTCGAAACCCCACCATCGGGTTTGGTCGACTCCAGGATTTTCCCCACATGGGCTTCCATTGGTTTTAATCCCTTTTTCCGTCGTTAGTGTTAAGTACAAGTTATTCCTGCAATTAAGGTGTTTCGGGAAGAGCTCATCACCTAGTTTCTCAATGGGAAAACAACTTCCCCAGACCACGCCAGGAAACCAGGACCAGACCCAGGACTGGGCCCCATGCTCCCACTTCTGTGGTGCCTCTGCTTGGCTATGGGGGTGTGGGGGTGGTGGTCTCTGGGACCCAGCATAATTCAGCATGTGTCCCTCCCTGTCCTTGAGACTGGATTGTGGGCTGTCACCTCCCCCACATACCGACCGATGTCTCCCTCATGAGGAGATAAGGCATGCTGGTGACAGGGCATGGGGTTGAAGTCCCAGTTCTCCTGGTGTGACACCCCCCTCCCCACCACCCTTGTGAGCCTGGTGCTGAGGCATCAGGCCCAGCATTCCCTGTGGGTTGAGTCCTGACTTCTGCGGCTTCATTTCCCAGCTCAGTGACCGCGGACACACCACTTCAGCCCCTTCCAAGCCTGCGGCCACTCCTCCCAGTAGTGCAGGCAACTACAGCACAGATTCCAGGTGCGGTGAGGACAAGAGGGACCAGAAGTGCAGGCACCCGGACCTTAGAACATGCAGCAATGGCAACAGTTTTTCATTCTATCACCAAATATTAAGGACTTTCTAGATCCCAGGCAGTTCTAGGCAATGGCAATGCAGCCACAGCCCCAAACTGACCAAGTCCCTGCCCAAGCCCAAGGCTGTCCAGGCAGAGCCTAGGAGCTGCTCTCCCAACAGCCGCTGGGAAACCAAGGGTGGTCCCAGAGTGGGCCAAGATTAGCAAGAAAGAGCCAACCAATGCAAAAGGGCAGTGCTGTCTTTATTCAACTGTCTTATTACAAAACTACCAGAACATAAATGGCAGAATTAGGAAGGTTCCAGTCCTGGCTTCGGCGAGAGCAGGCAGCATCTCTCTCCCTGCCACAGCCCTGTGGGGACAGTCACTAGTGCAGGGACCCTTAGGACAAGGCAGTAGGTGTAGCTCTGCACAGAGGGCCTGGCCTGAGAGGGGGAGTCTGGACTTGGCTAATATTGTCCACTCTGAGCACCATCCTGCAGCTTTTAAATAGCAGGACATCTTCCTGCCCCACTACCGGGGCCTCAACAAGACTGTCCAGGAACCTTCTGCCCAGGAGGCCAGGAGGGTTGTGAACAGAGGTGACCACTCAGAGGGAGATGGGCCACCTTGGAAACGGCTGGGGGAGCTACTTCTCCCCAACACTCCTGGCAGGGGGTGGGGGGGCAGCTGTCCCTGGGCTAAAGTTCTCAAGGGGAAGCAAGGCTGAGAGGAGCAAAGCTGTGGCGAGCCCGGAAGGGACACCAGACTTCCTAAGAACCTAAGGGTGTGGGGAGGGGAGCCCTGGGAGGCTCAGGCGTGCTCCGTGGAGCCGGGGCCGGGGCCGCAGCCTGCAGGGGGCCAGCGCTGGGCTCCGGGGACGCCAGCACAAGGGCCGAGAGGCCATCAGCAGAGTCTGTGTCGAGGTCCAGCCTCCAGTACGCTTCGCACAGAGGCAGGTCATTAGCTTCGCAAAGACTTGAGCTTTTCCACCACCAGAAACCCAGGGAGAGACAGGAGCAGGCAGAGACGGACGGAAGCCGGGGCGGGGCGCGGGGACGGGGAAGCAAGATAGAAGCAGAGTTAAGAAAACAGACCACACCCCAAACCTGCCTTTCCCCTCTTCTTCTCTGTGCTGACCCCTCTCCACGCAGGCCTGGCTAAGGGGGGGCGGCGTGTGGGGCTGCCCTTGCTTCAGGGTCCAATACAGCATCCTACAGGAGGTGCCCTTCAGGACCAGCCACCAGCAGGCTGTGTGACCTTGGCAGGTCCCTCTGACTGACCAAGTGTATCTCCCAACTGACAGCCACAAGGCTGAGCCAGCCCATGCCACCGCCTCCTATCCTGGCTCCAGAGCTCGCTATGGTCTCTCAACAGTCACTACACTTTGCGAGGACCCCAATAGCAGAGACCCTGTCTTGTTTTTGGGTTCTCTGCCCCGCAGGGACTCTGCCTGAATCGGGGACAGAACCAGGAGCCCTGGTGTTCTGTGCTGCACCACTCTACCAGCTGTGTGGCCGACAGGCCCGCAGGCCCCCTGAACTCAAGTCTCCCTGCCTCTAACACAAGTCAGCAGTGTTGGCCTGCCGAGGCACGGGAAGACCGGGGTGAGGATGCAGGTGAGGAGTATGACTCACTAGGGCTGTCCAGGGGTGACTAGAGCTCAGAGGTCCCACAACTATCTGACCCCAACCTCCCTCCCCCCCTTGCTTCTTCTGCCTTCAGTGGTTTGGGCACAGAGCGGCATCCCAAGGAGAGCAGAGGGCAAGAGGTAGAGAAAGAGCGAGTCACGAGCAGAGAGCGGGCGAGTGTGGACACCGGCATGCGGGGCATGGCAACCTGTGTTGGGGGCTTTGGGGGAGGGGCACAAAGCCTGGCAGCCGTGACTCAACTGAGCCCTGGCCTTACACAGGTATTTGCACACGAGGGAGGAACTCAGCCTCTCAAGGCACCAGGGACAGCAAGGACCCCCCGTGGGTGAACCAGAGACTGGCACGGCAGGACGCGGGAAGCCTGGCACTCAGGCCCCTGGGTTCCCTGCAGTCTTGTCAAAGTGACTTTGGGTGGGTCCCTCACCACCACCCCTAACCCGGCCCTCAACCTCGAGAGGCAGGGCTAAATTGTTGTCCTGTAACCACTCAGTCCACAAGCCCGGTCCTTGGGGGCAGCAGGAAACAAACATAGGGACGTGAAGGGATTCTGCAAAAATCCGCGGGGCTGTGAACCATGTCCCTGGCATGGTCTGAGACACAGACAGCACCCCCACCCCAGGGACCCCCTCCAGACCCTCTCTGAAGGCCTGGTGTGTACGAGGTGCTTGCCGCCATGTCTGCTGAGCCGATGGGTATCAGCGACCAGAGGTGGCCCCAGAACCCTCTGGGAAAGTCTAGAACCACTCCGGCTGGACAGTGGCACTGTCCCTTCCCGTAGAGGCCAAGATGGCCAGGGACAGTGAGGGCTGGCATTGAGTACAGGGCAGGGAAACCAAGGCCCAGACCACAGACCATGCTGGCTCTGGGCATCTGTGGCTCAGCACGGCCTCCACAGGGCAGAAAGGAGCATCTGAAAAAGCCACCACAGGAAGGACACGTTTGTCTGGGCAATGGCATGGGGGGGCACCACTCCGTTTGAACAGAAACTTGACTTTCTGAGCTAATGGGGACAGAGATATAAGGCCTTCCTGTCTCCCGCTTCAGTTCCCCCGTGTATATTACACCTGGACTCTGATTTTTCAGGACCCCTTGGGCTCAAACGACACAGGTTTCAGGATTCCAAGTGGTGCACGTGGGCTGGGGTGACAGGTCTTGCCCACTGCCGTATCCCTGGGGCCCAGCATGGGCCTAACATGTAGGCAGGCTCTGGTCTGTGAACCAGGCTGAGCTGAACAGGAACTCAGTGGTCTGGGTACCCCAGGCCCAGCTCTCAAGGCCATCCTCTGCTCGGGTTTCTTCCTCCTTCCCACCCCCACACCACCATGGACCCTGACACACACGCTGAAGATTCGGGGATACCCACATGGAACGGCATCTCTAGGCAAGCACTGGCATCCTGCACATTCAGGGCATGAGCCTGGGCTGCCAAGAGAAGCTAGCCCAGGCCTGGCTGGAACGTTTAAATATTGACTAAAAAACTAAGAGAAGCACGCAGGCCCAGAATGAGGCAATGGACAGCCCCAGCAGGAATGCTGGCTCTGCCCTCCGCTCTGGGGCTTGGCCCACCCAAACCCTGAAGTTCTGTGACTTTCATCCTGCTGCCCAGGGCCTGGCAGGCGGCGTAAATTGTCCATCAATCGCTCTGACCGTGAGCTCTGCTCTGAAACCCAGGCACGTGTCTGTGCTGCCAAGACCAGGAAGGATCTGCAAAAACAGGGCCTTCGGGGCCGCAGGCCGGGCCCGGGCCCCCAGCTGTGCTCTGCGCAGGGTCCAGCCCTATCGGTACCTGGACGAGTAATATTCCTCCTCCAGCTCGTACAGGTCGATGGAGATCTCGTCCCGCAGGGCAATGAGCTTCCGGTCACACTCCTCCTGCAGGGCTCGCAGCTGCTGGTTGCGCTGGTCGATGGCCTCGTTCACCGACGGGAAGTCATTGAGGATGAGGAACTGCTTGAGGTCAGACACCAGTTTCATCAGGGACTCACCAGCTCGGACCTGAGGCCATCAGAACCAGGGCAGGCGTGCTGAGGAAGCCGCCGCGGCCCCGCCTCCATTTCCTTGTCTGTCAGGTGGGACCACAGCACTGACCTTCACAGGGTCGTCGTGCAGTGAGAGAACCGAAAGGGACCCACGGGAGGACAGGGTCCGTGGCCCCCACCCATGGACGTGCTTCCAAGGCAGGTGCCGCCAGCTTCCCAGCCTTCCCACCCCCCCACTGGCTGCCGCTGCAGGGGTACGGACCCTCCCTTACACAGATTATGCTTCGCAAAGCCTCAAGCCCCACAGATAACACTACTGTCCCATGTAACGCCTGCCCGTGCACCTCCTTGGGAGCAGCAAGCAGGCCAGTTGGGCAGGATTCCTCTGGGGCTTTTCCTATGTGTTCGCACCCGTGGGCACACATCCATGGGAACATTTGGCTGATGTGCTTGTTCTGGGACATCAAAAGCGATGAAAACGCACATCTTGGTTTGTTCGGCAATTTGCTTTCGCTCTCATAACGAATCTCTGGGAGCGGTCTCGTCAGCAAGGAAGGGTCAACCCCTTTCTAACCATCACACAGCACTCTCCTTGATGGATGTGGCCGACCATCTGCCGCCCCTTGCGCAGGTGCCAGACAGCCCTCCTCTCGAGGGGAGTCTCCTGAGAAGTGGTTTGCCCACTTGCCCCCCCCACCCCCCCTCAAAGGTGGGACCACAGGGCTCCTGCAGCCCTGGGCCCTGCCCTCCACCGAGTGACTCACAATGTTGGCAGCTCGAACGTGCATCTCGTAGTTGTCCTGCTCGCCCTGAGTGGCCCTCGACACTTGTGTCTCGTCTTCGATCTGGAGGGCAGACAAAAAAGCCCCAGAACTGGCAGGTGCCCCAGCCCACAGGTAACTAGCCGGCTGCAGGACACCCGCCGCCGCTGCCTCCTGCCTGCCGTCCACTTTACCTCCTCCGCCACGCACCACGGACCAGACCGTGGCCGGCATTCAGCCTCACCCCCTCCTGTCCTAAGGAGCTCACGGGCACTTTCACCGGGAAAACGGATGCCTGTGGACCCTGACTGCTGTGCCGCCTGCAGGGAGGTCTAGGTCAAGTGTTCTTTGGGGTGTGGAGCCCTGTTTGGTATAATATGGGGTCGTGAGCTCAGATGCTCAGTAAACTGAGCTGCTGAATGCATAAAGGCATGATGTATTTCTTTTGAGCAACTATTTACTAGCTCTTCCAGGCTGCCAGGTGCCATGTTAAGGGCTTAACCACCATTATCTTGTGGAATTCTCACCAGAGCCTGGACCCCCATCCTAGGTTTACAGGTGGGCAAAGCTGAGGCAGGGACAGCTCAGAGAGTGCATCCAAGGTGTGTCCGACAGCGCACGGAGAAGCAGGAGTGCTGCCTGGCCTGGCCTGTCCAAAGTGCAAGCTACTCAGAGCTCCCGCCCATCCATGGGACAGGGCTTCCACAGGGGGCCTTGCCAGCCCTGGGCTGGGGGCAGGGCACCCTAAAGTAAGGAGCTGGATTCCTGGGTTCAAATCCTGGCTCTGCCGGCTATTAGCAGAATGACCTTGGCAAATTAGTCTCCTCCTCTGAAAATGAAGAAGACAACACTACCTGTCCCACAGAGCTCGTGTGAAGGTTAAATACAGTAAGACACGACAGCTCTCGTGACACGGCGTGACACACGGTGAACGCACGCTAAATACACCTTAGCTTTCTTAATCGTGGCCCTACCAAGCCTTCCGAGGTCTACAGCAGTCTCAAGATCCACCCCAACTTACTGCACTGCAGCCCAGCAGGCTTGCCAACCGGATCCAGACAGCCGGTTCCGACCACCTGGAGGGACCTGCCCCCGCCTTGCTCCCTGACTGCATTGGGGGGCAAGAGCGACCACGTCTGGGCTGGAGTCACGCCCCACGGCAACCACTGTACACAGACAAATTCACCCAATCACCAGAAGGGCCTTAGGATGCAGGGGCAGCAGAGGCACGGAGAAGTCTGGTCTTCATCCAGACCCACGCTGCTGGTTAAGGGGCGCTGGACGCGGAAGCCAGGCCATCTCACCAGGGCCTGTAACTAGCTGGTTTATTTATCGGTTGACCTGTTTGCTACTCCGGACCCCCCTGCTGCCCTCCCCAATATTTTCCCCATGCGGACAAAGGCCTGGCCTGTGCGTTCACTGCTGGATCCTCCCCAGCCGTGTGACACCTGACCGCAGCAGGCCGGCCACTCAGCTCACCACTGGCTAGACCCCTCCCCTTCCCTTGGTCTCGGAGGGGCAGGAGCCGGCCTGCCCGCCCCCACCTTGGCGGTCTTGATGATCTCGGTGAAGTTGTCCATGATGGACTTGACGTCGTCCTTGAGCCGCTTGTTGTAAGACTGCAGCAGCGTCTCCTTGCTCTGCGGCAGCGCTCTCTGCTGGGCCATGGCGGGGCCTCAGGCAGCTCGGAGGCGGCACCTGGGAGCCAGAGTCCGGCGTGAGCAGAGCCGCCCCCAGCCGCCCACCCTCCATGCCCCAGCTCAGCAGAACCGCGATCTCGGGAGAGGCCCCTCCGCCAGAGACTCGTGCCACCGCCAGCACACGAGCGCACCGCGGGCTCTCGGCTCCGGCCAGCGCGCGTCCGCCCGCCCCCGCCCCTCCGCCCCTCCGCCGAGGCGTCCCTCCGATTCTCCCCCGCCGCGCCCTCCGCTCCAGGCCGGGCCCCCGGAGGGCCGCCGCGCCCACAGCCTGCTCGCTCCGGGGGGCCTCGGCCGGGACCACCCTCCCTCCCCGCGCGCCCGCGCGCTCCGGCAGACTGGCGCGGGGCCTGCGCGCCGCCGACCACCGAACTCGCGGCCTGGGAGTCACTTCGTAGCAGGGGAGTGGGGGGTCACACCTGAGAAAAGACGGCGACCGCGCCCCGACGCCCCCACCTGGTCCGCAGAGCCCGGGGCGACCCGGCTGGGTACAGGGGTGGGGAGGGGTGCAGACAGGCGCACGCCCCTCCCCGGAAGTCCTGGCCCCAGATCGGAGGCGGGCAAGAGCGGTCCTGTCCCTTTAAATCCGAAATCCCGCGCAGGCGCCAGGTCTCGCGATCTCCGGTGTCGCCTACATATTACCCACAATTCCCTTTTCTTTCTCTCTCCTCCGGCGACCCAAGATGGTGAGTGGTCCTGCGGCTCGTCGTGTTGGCGCTGGGTCCGGCTTCTATCCGCTGCCATCCTCTTCGGGGCGTGGCCGTGCGGGGATCCCTCCACCGCCCGGCGCTAGGGGGGAGCCCCGCGGGGCCTGGCAGGGAGGCATCAGGCCGGGTGTGATACTGGAGGCTGCGTCCGGCAGTGCGGGGAGGGGGCCCGGGCCGGGGGAGCGCGGCGCCGCAATGCGGGGCTCGGAACGCCGGGCCGAGGGTCTGCCGCGCCGTGGGGGCTGCCCCAGGGGCCTCGGGCGAGGGGTTCAGCGCCAGCTGTACGCCGGGCCCTTGAGGGGCGCGCAGTTCCGGGCCGGGGCCGCTCCGGCTCGGCCCTTGCGCGGCGTCGCGGACGAACGTGGCCGCGTGGCTGCCGGGGCTCGTGCAGAGGGTGTGGGGGGTGTTTGGTGCCTGGGCGCCAGGCTCACTGACGTAGACGTGGGCGGCCGCCGGGCTCGCTGCTGGGCCACCCGGACGTCGGCAGCCAGCCCGGCCTCTCGGGGACGGGAGGACCTGGTCTAACCGGGTTCCTTCTCGCGCAGCCGAAAGGGAAGAAGGCGAAGGGGAAGAAGGTGGCCCCGGCCCCTGCTGTCGTGAAGAAGCAGGAGGCCAAGAAGGTGGTCAACCCCCTGTTCGAGAAGAGGCCCAAGAATTTTGGCATCGGTGGGTAAGGTGGGGGACGCGAGAACGTGGTGTTACTCCCAGAGAGCAGCGCTGGCTACCGAGCAGAGGATCGTGTCCTGTGCTTACTAGCAGCTTCTGGTGGGTCTGGAGTCGGAGCTGCGCGGATGGGAGTCCCATTTTCCATTTTCTGCTACTCCCTGGGCTTGTGGGGGGGGGGGGTGCGTGCGCGGGGTGTGGCCACCTGAGCGCCACTCTGCTTCTGCTCAGATACTGGTACTCAGCCTGGCCCTGGGAGCCACGCTCAGAGCAGAGGCCCTTGGCCCACTGTGCTGACGGACAGCTTGGCTGCTCCCGGATGAGGGGCAGGTATCGGGGTCTCCCTGCGATCCCAGGTGTTTGTGTGCAGATGATGTGAAAGAATATTTGCTATCTGAGAGATGGTGATGACGCTCGAAACCACCAAGATCGCTGATGCACCTGCACCCTCCGAATGGCACCAAACTCGGACTCCATGGGGGTTTGAGCCTCACTCACGGTGTTGCCCTTAACTTCTCAGGACAGGACATCCAGCCCAAAAGGGACCTCACCCGCTTTGTCAAATGGCCCCGCTACATCCGGTTGCAGCGGCAAAGGGCTATTCTCTATAAACGTCTAAAAGTACCTCCCGCGATTAACCAGTTCACCCAGGCCCTGGACCGCCAGACAGGTGAGGTTCCAAGGCACAAAACCAGCATCCGAGAAGGGATTTCTTGGGCCAGGACGACGTTACCGTCTTTACTCTGATGGTACTACATTTGCAGTGTTTTCTGGGGGCGGTGGGGGTTTTCGAATAAATTGAATTATTAAAATTGAGGACATCATGTCTAATTTCCAGAACGTGAAGGTGGCTTGGCCGAAGAGGTCACGTACGTGTTGGGGGATGTCTTGGACTACTTTCAGGGCAGTGAGCTAGCATTGCGTCGAGTGGCACAGACCAGAGCTTAAAACAAGCCTAAACTGACAATGATTCTTGCAGCTACTCAACTGCTTAAGCTGGCCCACAAGTACAGACCAGAGACAAAGCAGGAGAAGAAGCAGAGATTGTTGGCCCGGGCCGAGAAGAAAGCTGCGGGCAAAGGGGATGTCCCCACTAAGAGGCCACCTGTCCTTCGAGCTGGTGAGTGGGCCCCTCCTCACAGAGGGCAAGTGGTGGGACAGGCTGTTGGCAATGATGCATGAATTTCTTCACCTGGAATCACTGTGAAGAGTAAAATCGAGCTTTTTAACCCTGAGTCACAGCTGGGCCCCGAGGAGAGCTGCTTTTGTGAACCAAGCAGCCCCTGCGGACTGCTCACACAAATTGGTTGTGTGTCCTAGGGGTTAACACTGTCACCACCTTGGTGGAAAACAAGAAGGCTCAGCTGGTAGTGATTGCACATGATGTGGATCCCATTGAGGTACGTCTTCCTCGTTTTTAAGCATTGATTGTTAAATTGGGTCTTAACGTCCGTGCCGGGACAGTTAAAGCTAGATGTTGAGTATGGCGTGTTAGGCCAAAGCGGGGAGATAGCTTTTCGTTGAGGACGGTACTGACAGGTGATCCAGTTGATAGCCGTTGTGATGATGGGGATTTCTTACTGAATTAAACCTTGAAGTGGGAGTACATGAGCTTTTTAATCCTGAGCAATTGCTACTGAGTTAGCTTTTACATTCCTGCTTTTGGTCGAAATACACTCTAGAGCTAATGATGTATTCCAGCTGGTGGTTTTCCTGCCTGCCCTGTGTCGTAAGATGGGGGTTCCCTACTGCATTATCAAGGGGAAGGCCAGGCTGGGGCGTCTGGTGCACAGGAAGACCTGCACCAGCGTCGCCTTCACACAGGTCAACTCGTAAGTATGCAAGGTGGCCCCCAACGCCCAGCAGTCAGTAGGGGTGAGCCACCCCCTCCCCCAGTTCTTAATCCCTCAGGATTTTCCTTAAAGACCAAACGCCATACCTTAAAGGAATACGTTTATCTGAATCTTTGCCAATGATGGTTAACGAATTTCTTCACCTGAATAAGCCATGTGGTCATATTGTATCTGAGGCAAAGGGCTTGGTTGGGGCTAACAGTGAGCCCGTCCCTGCTTTCTGGAAAGGTAACCGAGAAGCTAATGACCCCCATTTTCCCCCTGCCTTTTTAGGGAAGACAAAGGAGCTCTGGCAAAGCTGGTGGAAGCCATCAGGACCAATTACAATGACAGATACGATGAGGTAAGCCGTAGCTTGACACACAACACTGTCCGGTACATTGAACCTTTCATCAGGGGACTGGCTGGCCTGGTTCCTCCTGAGCAGTCCTACTTGACGAAGGACTTGGAGCAGCCAAGTAGAAGAGCACATGGGCTGACCTAGTTTTGAGAGCCTTGGAGGAGGCCACACTGACCCCTCTCTGTCGTTGCAGATCCGCCGCCACTGGGGAGGCAACGTCCTGGGTCCGAAGTCTGTGGCTCGCATTGCCAAGCTGGAAAAGGCAAAGGCTAAAGAACTGGCCACCAAACTGGGCTGAGTGGATGCTGCTGAATTTTCTGTACATAAAAGTAATAAAATATTGTCTTTCAGCCAGTGTCAGTTGGCGTTTGGGGTTGAATATAATTGATCTCCTGTCAGTTTGGGATGGCGACAAAGTGTTTTTCAAACCCAGGGTCTGTGCTGGGCACAGGGCAGAAGGTGTGGGTTGACCTGTTCTGAACAAGCAGCCTCAACCACTCAGTCGCACGTCATACTTGAACATGCTGACAAAGCTTGGATTTTATGATCAAGACTGTTAACTAGCACAGGCAGAATGGCAGGCAGACGACAACAGGTGTGTAAGATTTATTCATACCAATAGTACCTGATCCTATATAAAAACAAAGCTTGGAAATCCGTGACTCCTGATTTATTGTGGTCCTTCCGCTCATTAGTTAATCTCACACACCAGGACTCCGACGTAGGAATTTCTTAAACCACAGGTAGGATGTAGCTGCACAGAGTCCATACCTTGGGTTGAAGAGAACAGTCAGTGTTTGGAAGGGGAAGACTTGGGAGCAGCTAGAGACTGGGACTTACCAGGTAATGATGTACTGCATGTGCTCATTCCTCAGAGTGACTCGGGTTTGCCCTCCAATGGGTCCCCCGGGGACTGTGCTCTCTGCAGAGACAGTGGGCTCAGTGTCCACAATCACTGTGTGTCTCCCTACAGCACTTTGGCCAGCTGTTTCCTTGGGGCCTTCCAGAGCTCTTGCATGGCCAAAATTCAGTGAGGCCTTTTTTTTTTTTAACCTGTAATCAGCCCCATGTTGCCTCCTTCCCTTAGTACTTGGCAGACATCCACACTCCTCCCACACATGCTAAAATAGAAGCAGTAGCAAGTACTAAAAACGTCAGGGCTGAGAGGAAGGTAGAACCAGGTGTTTGCAAAAGCTACGTGCTCTTCTGGGGTGGGCTGGTCACAACGTACGGAAGTCCGCATCAATGAAGATGGGATCTGCGCCCGTGAGCCTGGCCATGGCCTCCAGGTCCCGGTAATGCCAGTGGTTCCTTTCGGGATTGTTCTCTGGGACAAAGGGCTTCCTAGTTTCTGTCAGCCTCACCATCCCAACTAGGTCTACTTCTCCCTTGATCTAGAAAGGAAAACGAGATTGCTCTTCAGGGCCTGGTTTCTAGAGAGCCCTGCTCACAAGGGAGGGTTCACACCCCTTACCTGGCCTTTCTGCCGTGTATCAGGATTCACCTTCTTCCTGGGGACAAACCCTCTATTTACCAGGATGGTGATTCTGGAGTAAAAGGAGGATGCTCTTTCAGGTGCGGAAGGGAGTAACAGAAGTATGCTCTTTGAGGTGGGGAAGGGTTTTGGAATAAAGATTATCACTGGTTGTCCGTGGGAAGGGTTTAAAACCGGGAGGCAGCTGCAGGTGTGCCACGGGGAAGGTCCTCCTTTCTCCTGGCCGGGTCTTGATTGGCAGGGCCATCAACTCTGAGGACAGACCTCCAGGGTCCCTGGTAACAGCCCCCATCTCTGCTTCCCTCTGTGTGCCTCACCCACGGCCAGAGTTCAGCTACCCAGTTAACTTTCCCAGTTAACTGCAGCAGCTGCCTTGTGTACCTGCCTCCAGTATCCTCTTGGGGTGGCGGGGAGACCCTCCCAGACCTAGAGCTGGGAAGTTGCTCTAGCTGATTTTGCAATGCCCCCTTGCTGGACAGGTCATTTCCTCTCCCCGTATTGCCCTTCCCATCT